TATTTATGAGATCTACAACTTTTAACCACAATAGTCAAATTATCATTATCAAGATATAATGCAGTCGAATAAATGTATTGATTACTGACAATGCAATACGTAGTATCAAATGTTAAAGAAATACTACATTCATAGTTGATAGGGTCATTTTTTGATTAACCCCAAACAACAATGTCCGAGGTTGTTTCCAGTCATCTTGGAAGTTTTCCCCATGTTTCCTAGTTGCACTTAATTGCCACACGTGACGATTCCACGTCACCTCGAATTTTTACCCTTGTCCCCTTACTCTAGTAGGACTCTACTTCCGTCTTTAAATTTATCCAACTCTGATAAGATTAGATTTTAACTAGCTTACAACTCCTACTCATATTGAAATACTCAAATCTTTTAGGTTTTTTAAATAGATAAGCCTTCAAGTATCCTAATCCTATCAAGAGAGTGCTATTTACCTCTATAAATATAGGTTCTAATTCATTATTTAAATATATTCTTACATTTGATTTAAAGCCTTACGCTTATATTTCTCCATTTTTTCTAATTTAAGTATCAGAGGGATGACGAGTACACACTTCGACGTCTTTGTATCAGGTACTGAAGATTTCGTTCGTTGATGAGAATGTAAAATACTATATTTTTCATCCATTTATCCTATGATTTTGTGATTAATTAATGCCTAAATATACTCAATATTCTTATATTTTGATTTAGGTTGCAATTGGATGAATATGATGGAATTTAGAAGAAACAAGCGAAAAAGACTAAAATGGAAGAAATACAAAGTTTGGGGACTGAAATGCAAATACTCAAAAGTTATGTTGAATCTCACGATGAAAATTTGAGAGTGTTGGGCACCAATTTGATGAGAAAAGAAGCCAAAGGGATGAAATATAGTTAAAGTACTATCATATATCAATTCCCCGCCGAAAAAGTTATGCTTCGAATTTTCAGTCTCAATTTGAAACCCATTTTTGGCATAAGAAAAGTCCGAACTCGAAAAAATGTAATTCTGGACAATTTGTATCCATTTGAGTTATCTTTCCAAATCATCTTTAATCATCTCAATCGGATATCAGGAGAGAAAGATATAACCAAAATATTGAAAACTGTCCGATGGAAGTTACTTAAAGCTATGCGATCACATAGCTCAAATTTCATGCGGTCGCGAGAGGTGTTTCAGCGAATTTCAGAGTCCAGTTTCAATCTTTTATGCGATCGCATGCCTTACTACTATGTGATCGCATAGTTCATTCCCGGAACGAAAATTTTGGTTTCCAAATTTAAGTTAACTACATATGGAAACAACTATAAATACATATTTTAAAACCCTAGAACGGAAAAAGAACTTACAGAATACCTTACATCTTCATTCTTCATTATTTTGCTCTTAGAATCATGAATTGTAACT